TTGATTTTTCCTCTTTATGTGACTGTTAAATATATGTAAGAAGAGAGTGAATTGGATCATGGAAGAAAGGAAGAACTGTCTCAAGAGTCGCAAGACTAATGTGGATGTATCTGCTTGGCCTTCGGCAGCAGCTGTTCTGAAGGGCCACCATTAATCTAACCCTCTGACCGGCTCTGTACACAGCAGGATAAGTGGAGAGGGGTCTTTGGATCAATGGAGGGTGGGACAGACCAGGACAGAATGTGTGTGGAGAGGTATAGACCTGATAAACGAAAGACCAGCTGTCTGCAAGAGCTGCCCAGACCTCATCAGCAGGATCAGAGAGAACTTTTCAACGTTTTTTGTACTCTTTACAGGTCTTTTAGAAATGCACCCCAGGTCTTTGGGAAACGCACCCCAGAATAGTTAACATCTATCATGGGTTTAGTAGATATCAAAGGTGTCAAATTTGATTTCTGTGGTGTTCATGTAGGGAAAACTGGCCTATTTGTGATGTATAATGCCTCTTATTGAGTAAGGAAGTGATATATTACATAAACAGATGGGAGGCATGGGAACTAGCATGTGCACCTGGATACTACTTCATCTAGATGACTTTAACACTTTGTTGACCTGACCAACCATTGAGAATAGGATTGTTGCCAAGTGCTATTAGCTAACATGCCGCATGCTTCTTTCTTACATGTGCTGTCTTTGAAACAAGACAAAAGCTGTCTTTAAAGGAATAGTTCATCGAAAAATTAGTAACTTTATTATTTTTAAAGAAAATAATGATTTTATTCAGCAAGGATATAGTAAATTGATCAAACGTGAAGACATTTATAAAATATTTCGATTTCAAATGAATATTCTTCTATTGATTATTTTAAATTGTAATAATATCTCAACTTTTTTGCTGTATTTTTAAGCAAATAAATGCAGCCTTGGTGAGCTTTTTTTCTTACTGACCCCAAAGGGTAGCGTATGTCTGCGTAAACTATTCCTTTAACTGGTAATGGTGAGCGTGATTTGACCAAGTACAACATGTTCCTGGATCAACATCCATGTTGATCCTGGAACATCATTCCAATCAACCAATCAGAATTGAGAGATAACTTTTTAGGAAATGTTAGTTTTAAGCTTACAATCAGGATTAGGTGCTTCTACATCCTTGTTAATCAGCTATCATTTCTTTCTGATTTTAGTAATAAATTATGGGTAAGGTTAGGTTTAGGGGTAGGGATTGGGTGATCCAGGAACATGTCTTACTTGGCAAAATCACGGCGACCAACTGGTAATACCAGTAACCCTTTTTTGATACTTTTGGAGCTTTGGTGTTGCCGACTTTGCGTCTAAAATATTTCTACTTGTTTTTTGGTCGAGCACCCAGTTGAGATCGATGTGCGTGCTTTTGCCTGCTCTTCACAATACCAGTAACCCTGCCATTATGTTGATCTGGCTATACACAGTGTTTTATCTCTTGTCCTTTTATTCACAAACAAGTGTTCAAAAGCCACTGGGTTACACGACTGAACATGTCAGAGTGGGATGCACTACAGTGGGACTCTCATGGACCCGTTTCAACTCATTACTGACAGCTTTTGTACATGGCCTCTCTCATAAACCTGGCAGCTCCCAGCCTTCCCAAGTGTGCTCTTCAGACCTCTCGTTAGTCTCTAATGAGCCGCCCCGTTGATTGATGAAAAAGAAGAAAGAAAAAAAACCCAGGAACATCCACTTTGTCTCATTCCAGCTTTCATTTCGCCCTGACACAGACAAAGGAGGCCTTACTTTGCTCAAACAGCCATGATGCTCCACTGTTGCATCTCTTTGTTTTACTCTTGTCCTGTCCTGGAGTTCCACAAACAACAAGAGCCTTTCTAATTCTATCTTTCTCTAATACATTCATATTCCTCTATCCTTTCTTCTCCTTTCATCTCTTTCTCTTCTTCCGCCCCTCTCCTGCTCTTGCTCTTTTTAACCCGTGCCCCTCCCTATCCCTCTGCCTTTGTGTCCCTCAAGCTGGTTTAAATATTTAAACAATGCAATTAGCGTTACACCTGATGCAATTGAAAGACGGGCCCTTTGTGACTGTATGCTATGGCACGGCAACACAGCAGGAATGCCTTTGCTCATAGCCTTTTAATGTCTGCATGACATGAATGCAGGTTTCGTTACCTCAGAACTTATTGAATTAAAATCTCTGAATGTCACTTTATTGAAAATCTATTATGAAGCGAATGTCCATTTGGTATACATGTTTTTTATCACCCAGTTTAATCTGAAATAGAATAGAATAGAATAGATCAATGATGCAATGATGATTTAATGATGCACCGAAATAATAAAAAATTCCAAACAAGAAACCAAAATTAAAGGGATAGTTCACCCCAAAATAACCCCATGATTTATTAACCCTCAAGCCATCTTGAGTGCATGTGACTTTCATCTTTCAGACGAATACAATGGAAGGTACATTTAAAAATGTTCCAAGCTTTATAATGGCAGTGAATGGGGTTTAAGTTCCAAAAACTGCACCTATACATCATAAAAATTGCCCCACACAGCTCTGGGGGGTTAATAAAGGCCCTCTGAAGTGAAATGATGTATTTATATAAGATATCCTTATTTTAAAAAAAAACAACAACAACAACAACTGTAACCTTATTCAGTACTGGTGAAATACCATAACCAAATGCAAATTTGCATTGTGTTAATGGTTCTCAAACATGCATTTATCACTAGCGGCACCACAATTTCTCAATATGTGAAATGTTTATGAAAGAATTGTATTGCTTTTTTCCCTGTTCTATTGAAATCTTAAATTATTCTTCATTTGGCAAGAGATTGCTAATGACCTAAATTGAAATGAAACTGCATTTATTTCCTATTTCTTCATTAAAAGTACTAAAAGAATCATTAACAGAACTATTAAGGAACCAAATCATTAATAGTAGTTGGAAGTAGAACCAGAATCATTCAATTCTTTATTATTCCCATAGCTATCAGATGCATAGAGTTGTGTCAGGGAGTTTCAGTCCTGTTTCAAATGTCTTTTCTGTTTCTCACTGCTTCCCCAGAGTGATTTAGATCTTCCAGCTCCTTGTTATTTCTATGCCAATCATGAAGAACTGAAACAAACCTTTTATTTAGGCTTACTCCCTCTGTTTTGCATCTGCCAACACAGGAGCCCCCACAAAAGACGTCAGTGGAAAGGAAAAAATTTAAAACATTTCTCATAATAAGGTAAACCCATTCTGCCCTTCACTGGGCTTGGACTGTACATGTTTGAGGTCACAAGCAAATACACTATAGCCACACACACTGTTTAATCTCCACATTCCTTGATCTGCGAAGCAAACTGGGGAATAGACAAGTTGCTGCAGTGTTTAATCTCACTTTGCATTGAAATTAGGTTTTGAGCTGTTATCTTTGTATTCATGCTTACGGTTAAACTCCTGAAGATAGATATGCAGTCACAGAGGAGACCCCTTATCATAATTTAATGTGCGTACCTTTAGAAACTAAATACCTTCAAATTACAAATCCACCTTGGAGACACGGGATCAAGGGTCCTGCTTAGAGTTAAGCTGTCAATCACCTGCACTCCTTGGGTTTTAGATGTAAGCTATAGTAATTTGGCTTGACCTGTGCACTTAATTTAGACATTGAGATGAGAGTTTCTTGAAAATATTCTGATTTTAATTTGTTCCATACATGTGTGCAAAATGATAACAAAAAAGGGAATGTTACCCCAGACACTGACAAGTGAAGCTTAATAAGGTTTTTATGCTTAATTTATGTCCTGGGCACCGTAAATTTAAGCATTGGTCCTGTATGAGGGTACTACTGTAGATGGTACAAACTGGTACTTTGACACATATAAGATGGTACTGCACAATTACCATATTCATATACCATGGTTTATGAATTAATTATTTCAGCAAGGTTGCATCAAATTGATCAAAAGTGACAGTAAAGGCATTCATGTTACAGAAATATTTCAATTAAATGCTGCTCTTTTGAACTTTTTATTCATTAAAGAATCCTGGAAAAATGTATCAATGTTCTCACAGAAAATATTAAGCAGTACAATTATTTTCAACACTGACTATAATAAGAAATGTTTCTTGAGCATTTCAGAGGGATCACGTGACACTGAAGACTTTATTACATAAGTAAATTGCATTTTAAAATAGAAAAGCTGTACAAATTATAATCATTTTTCACAAATTACTGCTTTCACTGTATTTAAAAAAGTATGCCACCCCACAAAAAAAAATATTTGCCATGAGATTTAAAAAAACTAAAATATATAATTCCATAGTACTATTTAGTATTACATACATAGTATATAATTTTGTTGTGCATTAATAATACAGCAATCATTGTTGATTTTAATATGATAAGCCACTACATCAGAATAACATGCATGACATATTTGCAATTATTGCTGCATATTGTCAGACTGTCCAACAGCTAATTTTAATTAGAATCTTCTCAGAAGGTGTTTACATTATTAGATTGCTCTTAATGATGTTGCTATGAAAGTGTTTGACCTTGCTAGTATGTCACATTGTGCTATATATCAACATGCGCTAAGCAATTTCAATCTTGAATGCGGAATTAAGTACTACTTCTTTAATGAACTTTTTTTTGTTTGTTTTGACTAGAAGCAAGAGTTTAAATATCTTTATCATTTTACTCTAACTCTCTGGCACTGGCATCTATTGGTCTCTATTAGGCTTCTCTAATCATATATAGTGAGCATTTGCATGTTGTTGACATTGTATTGATTTGTCAGTAGGTGACATGAGGGCAAGCAGGGAGTAAAAAGGGGTCCAGACGTACACGAGATTGAGACGCGGGTCGAAATTGAGAGGTCAAGCTCAGAGGGAAAGCCTGGAGGAGGGGAGAGTCTCCCAGCCCAGCCTGAGAAACGCTAAATCCCCCCCAGCTGAGAGCAGGCGGTATCCCGCTCAGAGAGGGGGAGGACAGCACACCCGACTGCCTCGGTTTTACATACATGTCATGCATTTGTGTTTTTCCTTGATGTGTGTATGCGTTTTTTGTTCTGTGGAGCACGTGTGTGTAGATCTTTTTCAAAGGGGGGAGGGGTCTGCCCACATGGTGATTAACTATTCATAAGGTGGGCGGGGATAAGTCAAAGTAGGAGGTGGCAGACGGGGGAATCTGTGTTTGCTGTGCGTGAGGGAGGCAGAAAGAGAGAGGGAACATCAGAGACAGTTAGTAAGGGCTTGAGGTAAGGATGCACAGAGGCACAACAGCCCCCAGAAGACACGTCATTAAGGAACTACACACATGTTTTGCTTCTTGATGGCACAGGCTGTAAGCCACAGTGACCTACTCCTCTAGTCAAAGGATTTTAAAGCAAGCAAACAGCCAGCACAAATAAATGAGGAATCTACTCTAATAGAGATGACAGGCCAGCTCACTCTTACCAGTTACGGAGACCTTCTTGCCTAAGAGGTAAATTGGATTTGTTTTCTTATGTATTTCATTGGTGTGTCTCTGCCTGGATTCAAAAGCAGACTACAGAGGGCTGATAATTGCCTTTTTTTGTTTTTGGAAGGAGAGAGAGGGCTTGCCAGCATGTGTCTTTTTTCTTTCATTCATTCTTATGTGTGTTTCATCCCACATGCTGACCACGTTACACCGGGCTTTGTTGGTCTGACACGTTTAGACTTGTGGATCTTATTCTGTTATTTTAGTTAGCTATGTTAAGCTTTTAATGAACATTCAAAATATATAAATATTTAAATAAACATAAATATGAAATGTATAACCTTTTTAAAGAAAATGAATACTTTTAAATTTGACATGAAATAAATATTTGAAAGGTTACATTAAATATTTGAGAGATTATACCGAATATTTGCGAGATTGGCAAATTGTATTTAGTGTTATTGTCTCTCTGACAATAGTTGTGTGCCTTTGAGCTGTGATTTTGGTTGGTCACGGTGGCTGCTCGCTATTCTAATAAAGGGCCTTTCAGACTTTGTTTTTTAATGGGCTTCCACTTGTAGTCGGTATTATGAGTAATGTATTATTTGCCAAATAACATTTTGCATGTAAATTTATGATTTAGTCATTTTCTAAATTAGTCAGACATTTATTGATGAGTGGTTTGCTGTGGATGAGTACATATTGATGTCTGAGTTGGACGCTGGGATACATGTTGAGCGATCAGGGTCGCCGGCTGTGACCTTTGTGAACTCTGTTGCATTGCCCTCTCACACTCGTTCTAAAGTCTTCTGTCTGTCTGCATATCTCGCTGCCACCACATTACTAGACGTCATCTTCTGTCAGACTGAGGAGTAGTCTTTGTTTTACTCTAAAAAAAAAAAAAAAAACTAGAGCTGTCAGTCAGATGCATTAAGTGTCTAGCTAGCATGTGACTTGCGTTCAGAAGAAAACGGTCATTTACTGAAGCCAGCTGCCCTTGACAACCTCAAGCACAACCTATGAGCTGTCATTGTCCGATCTGTGTAGATTTAGACTCTGCAGTGTTGTGTTTCTGTCTTTGTCTCAGTGTGGTAAAGGTCCAAACGGAAATCAATCAGAAATATACGGTGTGGTATGTTTTTAGCATAGTTTTTATTAATCCTGTTTTGTGCAATAACACACAGCTGCTGCACCTCTAATGAACCCTTATTACTTAGTATCCAGGCAACAGCACACATGTGCGGTTTACACCGTTTTCATTTTTATTTGCCATTTTTATGCCTTTGAAAGCCTGTCGTTGGAATCTGATTTAACAATGTGGTGCTTAACAGACCTGATAATGTAAATAAAAAGGTTGTACATTTTGTACCTTCTCTCTTGACTTTAAACAAAACACATTGCCACCCCATTACGGATATATACATGCTGGCTTGGTAATGGGCGTTGCACACTTCTCCTCTGGGATGAGTGTTATACTCAAAAAAATACAAAAATACACACAAACACCCCTCACCCGATGTTGTTGCTATGGAGCCCTAGTGACCAGGTCATCTACGGCAGGAACTCGGGTGAGAAGAGTTTGGATTATGAGCAGCTGGGTTGCATTTCTGTTCAGATGTGGGCAGGAAGAAAATAAGAAGATAAAAAGAAACAATGAAGTGACTTAAAAACATATATTAGTATGTATGAATTGGGTCATTAGCAGGAGAGCTGGGTTTGGGTGTGTGCACCATAGGATTGGTTCCTGTTGTCTGCCCACCTATCGCTGTCTCTCCCGAGGCACAAACTCATCTCGTCTTATTGAGTTACAGGATATCCACACGGCAAAACAGATTGTTATAATCCACTAAAACAGAATAAATAGGATAAAATAAAAAAATCAATACAAGAACACATCAAAGAAGGTTTTCCATTGTTCTGTTTACTCCAATGTGTGACCTTTCTGTGATTAGATAAATACTGAATTAAACAGTGCAGGAGGAAATGAGAGGAAAGCGAATGTGCTGGCGGAGATTAGGCAGAATCCAATTTCACTTTAGAATGGAACTAAACTAGACTAAAGCTGTGCTGAAAGGATGTAGGAGGGTGGTAGTCTTTAAGGGTATAGGAGAAGAAGGGGGTCTTAAATATTTCAGTTGTGGCACAGCATGTTTTAGACATGCAGTAGACCGATTAAACCCACTGCTAGGTTAGTATGTGTTGAATAGTGAATAAACTCCCTTTAGATATCTGATCCTGAACATGTAATGGTGTATAAAACTACTACTGACCCCAATCAGACACATTTCTTAGGGGGCATTTGAAAAGGGGAAAAATAGAAAACATCTCTGGGATGATTAGATTTGAGAAGGTCAAAATCTCTTCAAGGTAGTGCTGTTTTAAATCTTTGCATTAATAGTTGTTCCTTCAATTTGATGGTTTAAATCTACTTTTACATATCCAATATTGGCAACACTTGAATTGTTGAATTATCAATATTTAATGTTGAATTATCAACATTTAAATTCATATAATATTGACATATACACTACTGTTCAGGTTTGAGGTTGGTAAGATGTTTTTCAGCCAAAGTCTCTTATGCTCAGTAAGGCTGCTTCTTTGTGATCAAAAATACAGTATTTAATTTAGTGGTTTTCAATTAAAACATTTTTATATATATTTTAATAATTTATTCCTGTGGTGGCAAACCTGAATTTTCAGTGTCACATGATACTTTAGACATCACTCTAATATGCTGATTTGGTGTTCAAGAAACATTTCCTAGAAATATTATTGTTCAGTTTTTTTGTTGTTGTTGTTTTTTTAAACCCTGATGCATTTTTTCAGAAGTCTTTCATTAACAGAAAGTTAAATCATTTGTTTGAAATTTTTATATTATATTATATTATATTAAAATGTCAAACACATGATTTTGAACTTTCTGTTAATAATATAATATAATATTTTGTATGATGTCTTTTCTGTCTCTTTTCTTGTCTCTTTTGATCAAACGTATGCATCCTTGTTAAATAAATGTCTTAATTTTACAATCTAATTGACACATTCAGGATTTCATCCTACGCTACTCTCAGCATGGTAAAACAATGTTGTGTTTTTATAATTTATCCCCTTCAAAGCTTTCTAAAAAAAATGTAAGTTCATTCATTAATTTATTTTAAATATATCAACCTAAATAATTAACCATCATTGACTTTCATGATTAAGTCTTCACCATCATGTCATTTAAAACCAGTGATGTCAAAAATGTGTTTTAAATTTGTTTATTTGTCACTACAAGACCATCAGAGCATCATGACCCAGATCTTCTCCTTGCCGCAAGGATCCCCCTCATCCCACCTTCAGTAGAGTAGGTCAGCATCTGGCAGCTTCCGGGAAAACATCCAGACAGCTCTTGCCTCTTCTCATATTACATATTATATTCTCATATTACTAGATCTGCTTTGAATCCACACCAGAGAGAACTTTAGACTACTTTTATGCATAAACGTCTCTACGGTGTCATTTTCCAGGTTTTTGCAGGTGTTATTATACATCAGGTAATATTTGACAGCAGTGAGTGGGAGGAGGAGGAAGAGTTTCGGCTCTAATCAGGAAGAGGCGGGATTGATTTATTGTTCCCCTCAGGGCTGGAGATACGCCTCTTTCACTCCATTGCTTTTCCGCCATCTTCCTTCCTCCTTCCGTCTCCCTCTCACTTTCCACCAAACTACTTTTCATTCTGCTCCTCCAAGGTCCCCCTTTTCTGTGTCCCCTCCCTTTCCTCTCCCTGCCGCCCCCTCCCCGCATCTATTCTCTCCATCCTCTCTCCTGGTATAACTAGGTCATTCTGCAACATTAAACCATCGCTCCTGGCAACCATGTGATCCACACAGCTCTGCACACTCATCTGTCTTACCTTCACTGAAGTCTTAGTTTATTTGTCCAGCATCTTTAGTGCAAGTTAAAGCATAAGTATGTCCACAACCCAGCTTTAGTTGGAGGACATTGCATATTGGACCGCTTTGCCCATCTGTATGGACTGTTATTACTGTGGCCTTCTGACCTGTAAAGGCTAATAAGATACGGTAATGGACGGTGTCAGAGGTCACACAGGAAGTGTATTCTGTGAGGAGCAGATGTTACTGAACAATATGAGATATTTGGGTGACAAACAGACAATAGATGTAAAACTAAAGGAGCATGTAAACATTGCGCTTCAAGGGAGGCAGGAAGAACCTTTTGTGAGCTCCTGGGAAGAGGTCTGGTGAAGTGTGAGCAAGAGGCTGTGTTTATGATTGCGTGACTGATGGGTTGTTTGGTTGTCAACGAGAACAGAAGTTGAGACCACCTTCCTCCCGGCTTTTGTGGGTGTTTTTGGTTTGACATGTCCTCATGTCTGTCCTTTCCCTCAGAACTGTCCACATTTGTTACACAAAAATGGGGCTGTCATGATTCCTCTGTTCAATTAGAGTACTTGATTTAAAAAAATCCTTGATTGCATTTTGTCGAGTAACCTGCAAAATACTGGAAGTGGCCCATTCCACGGAGAATCCACACATTATTAGACCGTTTTCCAAGGCTGCATGGTATATTAAACCCATTTAATAATTATAATAAAGCATAATGCTGTTGGCGCCAAGTGTATTGACATACAGTGCAATTGCGCTCACGGTGACCCGAATTCGATTCCTGTCTCGAGGTTCTTTGTCGATCCCGCTCCATCCCATGCTTTCCTGTTATCTAAAAAATCCTTGATTGCATTTTGTCGAGTAACCTGCAAAATACTGGAAGTGGCCCATTCCACGGAGAATCCACACATTATTAGACCGTTTTCCAAGGCTGCATGGTATATTAAACCCATTTAATAATTATAATAAAGCATAATGCTGTTGGCGCTAAGTGTATTGACATACAGTGCAATTGCGCTCACGGTGACCCGAATTCGATTCCTGTCTCGAGGTTCTTTGTCGATCCCGCTCCATCCCATGCTTTCCTGTTATCTCTGTGCTGTCCTATCTCAATAAAAGGAATAAAAAGCCCATAAA